CTTCCTCCTCCGTAGGAGCCCCCGAAGTTGCCCCCGGAGCCCCCGAAGTTGCCCCCGATGGGCTGGGGCAGCACGGTGCCCACCAGGCTCTCCTGGGGGCAGGAGCTCAGGATGGGCCCTGGGAAGGTGATGACCACGGGAGGGGGGTAGACCACGGCCCGGGAGTCCCCGCAGGAGGTGACACAGGGCTCGTTCCAGGCGTCCACGTAGGGCTCTGGGCAGGTCACCTGGCAGGGGGACGAGCAGCCGCTGCTCAGCAGAGCTCCTGAAGACATCTTGGGGTGCAGAGGAACCTGCAGCGGGACGGGAAGCACCAGCTCAGCACCCCAAAGGCCAGGGGGGGGAAAGCAAACCTGGCTCTGCTGTCCTTCTCCAGCAGGGAAACAAAGGGGGAAGGAGGGTTTGGAAAGGGTCAGGTTTGTCCCTCTGCTGCCTTTGCCCAAAGTTCCTGCTGCTCCAGCAGTGCTGGGAATCGGGGAGGGCAAAGCCAAGCTCCACGTGCCTTTGGAAGCAGCTCATCCTCGGGATCCTTTTGGATCACAACACACACATGGTGGAGGTAAAGGAACAATATTGAACTGACCCAAGTGCCTGAGGAAACCCCGTCCCACAATTCATCAGCTGTGTCTAAAAATGCAGATATTTAACAGACTCTCAGTTTTAAAGCACGGAAGAGACAACCACAGGCCCTGCAGGAGGATTCCTCAGCTAAAGACAGGAATTAATCTGCTCCTGGTTCATACAGAAAGCCAAGAGGGTCCAACTCACCGGGTCTGGAGCAGTGCAGAGGAGGAGCTGTCTCTGATGGGCCTGGGGAGCCCTGAGAGCTCTTTTATAGCTGCTCAGACCCCCTGAGCCGGCAGCCACGCTTTGTGCAAGAGCTGCCCACGCGCTCCCCGAGCGTGTTTGGCCGTGTGCATTATTCCTTTAATTGGCCTAATTGTTCTTTAAGTGACGTGATGACTTTATTATTACGAGTCCCCACTCACGTTACGAGCCCGGCTTTGATCTGAGCTTTGATCTCCTGCCCTGACCCCCCCAGCTGATGGGGGCCCTGGCCCTGCTGGGGCTGGAGCTGGAATGGGCAGGGATGCACGAGGGGGTTTTACTGATCTGATAAATACACTGAATTTCTCCTTCCCTCTCCCAAACCCGGCTTGGGAACCCTCGGGGGGTCGATGAGGTGCTGCCATCCACCAGAATGGGAGAACCAAGAGCAGGGTTGGTTCCTGGGGTTCCTCCTGTCAGCTGGGATTTCCCAACCCCACCGTAGGAAACCAGGGAGTTTCACACTAATTGGGGAGTCAGGGAGGAATTGCTGACAAGCAAAGCTGTCAAATCAAGAGCTGTCACTGGTGCCTGACAGGACTTGTCCACGTCCTGTTGCAAGATCTCAGCCCCAGCAGCTCCCCCGTGCTCCACTTTCTGAGCGGGGCTGGGAACACCAGGGATCTGGGATGTGTTACATAAACACCGAGGGTCAACATCACAGGGGGGGAAATGAGACACAGGGAGGGAAAATGAACCACAGGGTGATCAGAGGGTCCCTGGGGCTGGAAAAGCCCCCCAGTTACTGACAGAGGACACTCTGCTCAGAGGTCTCTCCTCCTGTTGGTGCTTCTGTGTCTCTTCCTCCCAATAAACAAGGGGTCTAAATCCGGGAATACCACTGTGGTTTTCCTGAAAAAACCAGTCCTTGCCACTCTTAAGACTCTCTTATTTTGTTTTAGATTAAAGCACCTTTACATACTCTGCATGCAGCCTTTCCATACCCAAAATTATTGGGGTTTCTCCTCAGATGGTGCCTCCAGGACAAGAGCTGTGTGTCCTGCTGGAATGCTGCAGCTCTCCTGAAAGGTGGCAAAAGGAGAATTATGATAATAAAGTCACTCCTTGCTCTCACAGGGTGCTTCCTGGTGCTTTCTTGGGTGACAAAGGACATCCAAGGAATCAATTTGTTTAAACACTCCTGTGGGGAGTTCCTTGGGTGGGTGTTAAACAGGGGGAAAAAATGACCTTTCCCATCCCAGGAGACAGAAAGAGGAAATTTGCCATTTTCCCAATCCTGCACAATTCTGAACTCCAATTTCTACCACAGGAGAGAAAATATTTCTCCTGACCAAACCCAACTGGTGTTTTTAAGGAAAACCTGGTGCCTTTACCCCCCCCCCCCAGCCAACAGAGCTCAGTCTGGGAGTCAAACGAGGTCAGGGAATGGCCCCAGTCCCAAAATTCATACAAAAACTATTTAAGGATTAAAGTGAGACAAAGGGTGTGTTGCACACCTTGGATGATGGAGCTGATTTACTAATCATTCCCACCTATCAAAGCAATTATTACAATTAGAAGGAGCTTATACAGCAAAACGTGTGCCTGGTTAAGTGCTGGGTCCCCGAGTGTGTGGCAGGTCCTGGCAGGGTATAAAAACCCCGAGTTCCCTCCAGGTTCCACAGCAGCTCCTCTCTCCAGTTCGGTGTCCTCGGTGAGCCTGGTGAGTTCTGTGCCTTTGTGTTCCTTTATATTGATTGGGATGTCGTTACTGGTGTTTAATTTGGGAAATAATTCCATGTCAGTGCTCAGCAGTGAGCAGCAATGTGGTCTTGGAGGTCTTTTCCAGCCCAGATACTCTGTGATCCTCTCGTGCCAGTTTGGTTTTGTCTCTTAGGCAGGGAAGGTTCTTGCAGCCAGTCACAGCAACCATTGGCAGATGCAGGTCTTCAAATGTGAGCCTGTGTTCTTCCAAACCACAGAGGGAAAGTGTCAATTAAATCCTGATTGTTTGATGAGGAGGTCACAGCTCAACTCACAGCTGGGCTTTTACTCAGAATGGAGCGAAGCTGGAGTGAAGATCTCTCCTTGAATGTTTATCTACTTATAAATAAATATTTATGAGACAATTTATAAGACAATAATATTTATAAGACCATATTTATAACACAATAATTTATAAGACAATAATTCCTTCTGCCAGGAAACCATAAACTGGATCACTGTGTTGGCTGTGAAGGCTCAGAGCTGTGAATACATTTAAATTTACCCCTTTGCTGTGCTGCAGGTTTGTGTCCATCCCAAAAGGTGTTTTCAGGACAGCCTGGGAGCAGCAGATGCTCCTCACCTGGGTCAATTCAATATTGCCCACTACCCCCATCAGGTGTAAATGAATGTTCTGATCCAAAAGAATCCCAAAGATGAGCTGCTTCCAAGGGCACATGGAGCTTGGCTTTGCCCTCCACGATTTCCCAGCAATGCCAGAGCAGCAAAAACTTTGGGAAAACGCCCTTTAAAACTGAGAGTCTGTTAAATATCTGCATTTTTAGACACAGCTGATGAATTGTGGGACGGGGTTTCCTCAGGCACTTGGGTCAGTTCAATGTTGTTCCTTTACCTCCACCATGTGTGTGCTGTGATCCAAAAGGATCCCGAGGATGAGCTGCTTCCAAAGGCACGTGGAGCTTGGCTTTGCCCTCCCCGATTCCCAGCACTGCTGGAGCAGCAGGAACTTTGGGCAAAGGCAGCAGAGGGACAAACCTGACCCTTTCCAAACCCTCCTTTCCCCTTTGTTTCCCTGCTGGAGAAGGACAGCAGAGCCAGGTTTGCTTTCCCCCCTGGCCTTTGGGGTGCTGAGCTGGTGCTTCCCGTCCCGCTGCAGGTTCCTCTGCACCCCAAGATGTCTTCAGGAGCTCTGCTGAGCAGCGGCTGCTCGTCCCCCTGCCAGGTGACCTGCCCAGAGCCCTACGTGGACGCCTGCAACGAGCCCTGTGTCACCTCCTGCGGGGACTCCCGGGCCGTGGTCTACCCCCCTCCCGTGGTCATCACCTTCCCAGGGCCCATCCTGAGCTCCTGCCCCCAGGAGAGCCTGGTGGGCACCGTGCTGCCCCAGCCCATCGGGGGCAACTTCGGGGGCTCCGGGGGCAACTTCGGGGGCTCCTACGGAGGAGGAAG